TTTATTTATTACTTTTAGCTAATGTTTATCCATTCATTTTAGGTAATTTTCACCTATTCCATTAAATTTAGTGGTTAATTTATCGCCTCATCACAACAGTTTATTCATTACTTTCAGCTAATATTGATTACTTCACCAAAGTGTTTCAACCGTTTGTCCATTTATTACTTTTAGCTTTCTATTTCAGCTGTTTATGCAGTGTTTTATCTAACTGTTAGAACACATTATTGATAACCTCTGGCTAATGTTTATTATTTCAACTAGGTAACTGTTGATCCATTGATTTTTTTCAACAGTTTGTTTATTACTTTTAGCTAACTATTTAAACAATATTTTGACACATTTTTAGCTAACAATTTGGATTTTTTTCTGTTTGCATGTTCACTACATTTCATACGATTTCTAATAATAACAACACGTGGCTTTAAGATGTTATAACTGACTCAGGCTAGTGCCGTGTGGATATATTTAAAAATATCAAATAATTATTTTGTTCCGCTCCTCCACAGTCTTTCCACTTGCCCCAGAGCAACTGCAGAAGTACCCCCTCGGGTATACTCCAAGTCTGGGAATCACTTATCAAGACCACTGCATCTTCGGATTTTCCTCTCAGATCCATCCAACAGGACGTTTCCCACAAACTGACTGTGACAAGTATTATTTTAACAGGTGTTTAATAAAGTTTAACATTCTTGGGCTGCAGTAAAGAAAACATTAGCCTCTGACACTTTAAAGGCCCCAATGTCTTTAACACAAATCAGCATTTTAATCTCGGATGCAGCGCCCTGAGCATCACAGTAGCAGCCGAAGTGCCTTTTTTGTTGCTAATACACTCCTTATGGTAAAGAATTACATACTGTAAATCACCCATATACACAGTTCACCTTCCTTTCATGCCTGTGTTTGTTTAAATTGGCCACTCCGGCCAGAATCTAGCAGCCTCATTACAACCAAGCCAAAGCCCATTACTCTGCTCTGCCCACGGGGAATAACACCTTTTTCTTCATTAACCAGCGAATAAGAGCTGTTAGCCACAGTTTCCATTACGGCTTGATGCAAAATAACTCACCGCTCACTCACTCGACTAATTTTCAACAGATTTTCCCATTTAACACATTTTGTCCTCAAGCACAATATCTTCACATTAAGTGAGATGCTTATGTACTTTTAGAAAATCTACTGCCATGAATACAGCTATTTTTTACTTTCCTCCATACAGCACTTTTCCCAGCAACACTTGCCCTCAATAATTCTGTGCAGCCTCTGACTGATCCCCAAGCACTTCAACTGTTAGTTGGCTGTTCCAGCCATGAATTCCTCCTTTCTCACCTTGCTTTAACTCAAACAGTCTTTTCCTTACATGCAGCCAGCCAGATGTTTAGGCTGGAAGTTCTCCACAGAGGAGGCCTCAGTGGTATGCATGGTTGTTATTTATCTAAATTGTATTTTTCTCCTTAACAGCATTTTTTTCCTTCTTTCTGCTCTCAGGGGTGGTTTACTTTAGCCCCAAAGTAGGAGGTGCAGAGAGGAAAGGCTTTGCCAGCATACCCACAATTCACCAGTGGCTGACGGAGCTGATGAAGTTGAAGTTGACAGCTGCATAAATCACTGGCTCATGGTGCTAATAGGTGGCAGTATAAAATCAAGCGCAGACCACCCATGCTGCAGGGCAGAAATAGGAGCATCAAGTCATATCTACCGTGCAGCACTGTACAGCCATCCGAAACACTTAACCCCCCTCTGGCCGCCTGGCCTGTTTCAGTCCAAGGAGCTCTCTTAGCAACACAGGAAAGGCCCGTCTGGCATCCGCAGTGCAGTGATTCATATTTGGCACTTTCATAAAGGTTCCAAGCTGTTGGAGTTTTTTCGGGGCCTATTGTCGAACGTTTCACCCCTCAATTGCCCTTTCGGAAAAACCTATAAACATTTCAATGCCAATAACTGAACAGGAGCCTTGCTTTTTCCTCTTTCATATGAAGATCTCAATACGTCGCAGGATACGCTTTTTTGTTCTTCCTCTTCACGGTGAGGAGAAAGGGCTGCACAGTCACCATTACCCTGATTTTTTTTGGTGCGTAGTATATTTCCACGTATGAATGGAGAGGTGCTTGAGCTCATTGAGAAGAGCTGCTAAGAGAGGTGTGAAGGTGGCTGTTTGCGGGGCCTCTTCCTTTGTCAAAGGGGAGATAAAACACAAGCAGAGCACGAGGGGGCGGACCCCATCACACAAAGCAGTGCATATTGCTCAATAACATGGCCTGGATCCCTGGGTTTTAGCACAACAAAACTCTACCTTGGGTGAAGGGCCCCTGTGCCATCGGCTTTGGCCATGTATGAGGAGAGTGAATGTAGACCCTCCCCACCCCCCCTGTTTTCTCCATGTTTTCTAGCATGTCTGAGCTTCTGTTGTGTGCCATGACTGTCACATATGATGAGGGTGCTGCAAGTTTCCCAGGAGTACTATGGTATACTAATGAACACAAATCCATACAACTAGAATATCTTAAGTTTCTTCTTGTCTTGTGGAGTCGGAGGTGATGGTGAATGGTGTGACACCTAGAGGAGACGGTTACCAAGCTACAGACTACTGCAGACTACTGTTCAAGACCAACAAACACTGTTTGGTTCAGTGACCTGTCACTGTTTTTCCAATGGCTTTTAGGCACCAAATGTGGGAATATTTTAGCAACTTGAGACTGTTTTCCAGCAGCTTTTTAGGCACCAAACATAGGTGTTTTGTAGCGACCAGTGTATTTTTTCCAGCATTTTTTTGCACCTAACATGGGTGTTTTGGAATGATCCATCTTTTTCTAACAGCTTTTTAGGCACCGAACCATTCCTTTTTTTTTAGCGACCTGACACTGTTTTTCCAGAGTCTTTTTAGGCACCAAACATGGGCGTTCTGCAGTGAGCCCTCACTCTGTTTCTGATGCCTTTTGACAAAATGTAGGGGGTTTTTTTTAGCAACCTGTAGCTGTTTCTCCAGCAGCTTTTTAGGCACCAAACATAGGTGTTTTGTAATGAATCTTCATGCATTTTGCCAGCAGAATTTTAGGCTACAAACATGGGTGTTCTTTAGTATTTTTTCCAGAATTTTCATGCACTGAATGTGGGTGTTTTGGAATGATCTATCCTTTTTCTAAAAGCTTGTTGGGCACCACACCTGTTTTTTGGTTGTTGTTTTTGTTTAGCGATCCAACACAGGCCTTCAGGCACCAAACATGGGTGGTTTTTTTTAGCACCTTGTAGCTGTTTTTCCAGCAGCTTTTTGGGCACCAAACGTAGGTGTTTTGTAATGATACATTGTGTTTTTCCAACAGCTTTTTAGGCAACAAACATGGGGAGTTTTGAAGGTGTTTTGAAACAATCCATTGTTTTTCTTGCAACTTTTTAGGCACCAAATCTAGGTGTTTTTTAGCAGCCCATTGTATTTTTTCCAGCATTTTTTAAAGCATTAAACTTGGATGTTTTGTAACGATCCGTCACTTTTTTTCTGGCAGCTTTTTAGGTACCAAATATGGGTGTTTTGTAGAACACCCTCACTGTTTCTCCACTGGCTTTTGTTTTTTTTTAGCAACCTGTAGCTGTTTTTCCAACAGCTTTTTTGGCACCACATCCGGGTGTTTTAGCAACCCCTCTCTGTTTTTCTACTGAGGAAAGTGCCACCAAAAGCTTTTTTTAAATTTAATTTTATTTTTTGTTTAACCATGACACTGTTCCATTTCCAGCTGGGATAGTGCCATGAGGAACGTCTTTTTTTTTAAAAAAAACAAGACATTACTGTGTTTCCAGCTGGAATGTCAAAAGCAGATATTTTAAGCCAAAACATAATCTTTTCCAAACCATAACCAAGTGGTTTTTGTGACTAAACTTAACCACTCGTAACCACAGCATTGTTGAAACATAAAGAAACAACGTATTTCGCTTAAAGGGGCAACAGTAGAGTTTTTAAAGATATTTTTATTAGGATAACAAATCCCCTGCAGAGACCACAATCAACAATGAATTGGTGATAAAAGAAAATAATGCCAGCCTCATGCTCTAACACCACACTTGGCCCACATTTCATTCAACTCATTAAGGGATTTTCCTTAGCTCATTTCAGTGTGAGAAAAGCTGAAACCTGCCAAACCACACAGCAGGATTAAATGCGAGAATTTAAATCAAGGGAATGACAAACTAATCACACCTGGATTCACTTCACCACCACAACATGTTTAGAGTCTTCAGCTAAAAAGGGTCCCCTCCTCCCTGTTGACATGTCTTCTGTCTCGACTGACCGTATACACTTCAACCTCTGCCTGAATCCTCTGGCTCTGATGCACTTCAGCTGCTACAGGGTGTCCTTTACTGCCTATAAATGGCTTGAGGTCATCTCTCATTAAACTAGAGTGTGCAACAAAATGACTCCTGACTGTGTTTGCCCCCCGACGATAAAGCCTGAGTGTTTATGGCAACTACCTGTACTTGGCTCTCACTCTCTGCCCAGGTGGGCTGACAGGGGAAAAAGTCAATACATGATGTCGATGTCTGTAACGTTGCAGGAGGATAAGCCTGGTCTGTGGTTTATGTTATTGGCTTATGTCAGCAATGAAGTTGATGAATTTGACAAAGTACCAGCTGCTGTAAAAAATGTGCTTTGCTTGAATAATTAGTGTGAAGTTCTCTTTTATTAAGGAGTTTGCAGTTTGGGCGGATTTTATGAATACTAATCTGCGGTGTTGAATAAGCATCAGTGGGTTCTTTGTGTCATTATATAAACAAGTAACCTTAAAATGCTTCAGTGGTAACCTTCAAATTAAAATGTTGGTCTTAAACTTCAGCTAATACATTAGCTCAGTGTGCTGAAGTTCCCTAATAGCATCTTTTAAAGGTTTAAGGGATCTGAATATGGGGGGAAAAATCTGATCAGTATTTATGTGAGAGCCTACAGTCGTATTTTTCTTTTCATTTCCTAAATGCACTCATCATAGGCTGAGCATGATTGATGTTGGACATACCTGATGTGTTCCTGTGGACAAGCAGCAGTTTGTGGTGTTTGTGGTGTGTGATCTGTTGGGAGGGAAAACAGAATTACAGTCAGTGGTCAGACAGTTCTTACAGCAGAGAGGCTGAGCCGAGGCTGTTAGGCTGACCGACAACCACAGCTTAGTGTAAATGGTGGAAAGTGGTTAGTGTGGGCCATCTATCTACCAGTAATCATCTCTTCATTAATGTATTATTTAGTTTATGCACATATTTGACCTTTAGGAATTAAATAAAAGTTTTCATCTCATTATGTTTGTTCTTCAATGGATCCAGCTAATAGTGAAGAGCTATTCAGAGATATTGCAGGAAGATTAATCTGAGTATAACTTTTTCAGTGTTAAATAAACTGCTCTAATGGCGAAGTTTAATCACTTACTGATAAACTTAGCCAGTATTAAAATTCCTTTACTTATTGGCTTAAATTTGGAACAGATGCAGCTTGCGCTGGGTGAGTTTTGTGTGGAATTTCTAAGGAAAACTGAAAAGATGACAAAACTGCGGTTGATTTTAAAATGTTTGCTCCCAAGGATTAAAGGAACGGTTCACCACAAAATCATAAATACATTTAAAAAACTCAACAGAAATGTCTCTTTCCAGAAATCATGACCCTGTTACTCAAGATAATCCACAGATCTTGTTGTTGTGTTTCATGTAGGGACTATCTTTCTACCAAATTACACCTGCAACTGCATCACTGTGCAGAAGGAAGAGTGCATCTACTGCTAGCTCACCTAGCACCACTGACCTAGCTAACGTTACAGCTCAACCGAGGAGAACACCATTAATGTTAACACCTTGCGCTGTCACGAACATGAGCCTCTCGTCCATGAGTAGATGCACGCTTCCTTCTGCGCAGTGATACAGTTGGCAGGTGTAGTTCAGTAGAAAGAAAATAGTTCCTCACAGCAAGGTCTGTGGATTATCTATTAGTTTTTTCGGCATTTTGAGCACCACAAGCCGAGTGCCATCTATCTATGGCTGATATCTCCAACACTTGATAACTTAAACCAAAATATTGCAGATTGATAAATAGCACTACAGGTGAGAGAAAAAAATGTACTTTTGATTTTGCCAGATTTTTTGCTGTAATAAAATCAATTTGAATTACAAAACTGTAGATGATTAATTTTAAAATGGTGCACTCTGATTGAGATTGAGGGATTGAGTCCTGCATATCTGATTAAACCACTTGTTTACCTGCCTACAACGTTGTCTTTGAAGTATTTCACTCTGGCTGGCTCGTTATTATTCTAAATTAAGATCAGCCATTTTAGCATGAAAAGAATTTAAAGACGCCACAGCAGCTGAAAAGTTGATCCAGTGATGTCACTGTAATAATGGCATTTTGAGGTCAGTCTAGATGTATGATAGTGTTAATAAGGTTTAGAGAAGATATCTTTGTTTGAGAACATAGTGTTCAGAATGTGCATACAAATGCCAAAAATCCCAGGCTTCTGCAAATATTGTTTCAGAGAAAAGGGTGTAGATATCCCTTAGATTCCAGGAAGACACTCCAGAGCAAAGTAATGTAACGTTTTTGTTTGCTTACAGTGAAGCAGTAGTTCAGTATCCTGTCTGCACTCAGGTATATTGCTGTTGAAAGATCTTACAGACCTGTCTCTGTAACCAAAACACACATCTGCTTGTATTTACATTTCCAGTGTTGGCAAAATATTGAGTTGCTGTGTTTAAATTGTTCGGTTTAGTTTGTGTAATCTTCAGTTTTTAAATGGATGAAATGCCCCTAATTGCCCTGCAGTCAACGGGACGTCTCGCTCTAATGCTCCCTGACGTGACATCCCACCCAAGAGTGACATCATGCCATGAGGAACTGTGACCTCATCCGGCATGCTGAGCAGCGGACCAATCAGGCTGCCAATGACTCTGGGCCTGCTTTTTTAATGCTGTCATGGGAGAGGTGGCTGCATTCACAAGAGCCAAACAAAAGGCTCTTTTGTCCCTGCGTCCACATCTGTCCGGAATCACCTCCCCTAATTACCAAGGTTAGTTTTTGGAATTGACAGCATAAATATTAAACTGTCAAACTCTGTCTGTTGGCAACACCTTGCAGTGTGAGTCATTGGCTGCCGAGGTTGAAGGAAAACAACACTCTCTTTCTCTGTGCTGAGCTGCAGCGCTGGTCAGCGAGCACCTTCACATTCATTCCTTCATGTGCCTGTTAGAGCACTCATCTAAAATACTTGTCTATTTCTGCATTTTTCTTTGCCATTATTTTAACCAGCATAACTATGAACACACACTATTAGTGGTTTTTACACCAGCCAGGCGTTTGTTCCTAGAAATGGTTAGACAGAGAGTGTGTTTACATGGACACTGATAACCTGTTAATGAGGCGTATCCTGGTTATGATCATGATCATTTATGGTGTTTACATGAGCCCAGAGAAACTGGGTTGTCCATGTTTACCTGAAAAAATACAAGCAACGCAGTTATTGATTACTACAGTCTGTCTGGGCAGGCACCTGTGGTGTTTACAAAAGAAGGCCTGCAATGGGAGATGGCAGTGACAAGAAATATTAAACACTACTGTGGTGGCTGTCTCAACTTACCAAAGTTCTTCGGCCACTTAGTTTGTGAGGGGTCTCAGTTTTGACTTGTGTTTCTGTTCCTTATCTGGAAATCCACACCACTCACATGAGGCAGAAAAAAACCCTTACAAAAACCCCCAAAACAAACAAACAAAAAAAAAGGCAGGCCAATCCTTCCAAAATTACATCTCATACGGTCCCCTACAGACTAAATGTCCTATTTCTATATATTCTCACATATTACCCAAATCAACACAAACATCACATCGTCTTTTACGCACGTTGTCCACAATCTCCTTTTGTCATGCGCACTAAACTGCCTTACTGCCCCATACCTGGCATAAATAACTTCCTTAGAAAATGTGAAAAACTTCCACACTAGTGACATGTCTCGAACACATTGTTGTCGTTCTTTTATAATTTTCAATTATACGGACCACAAACCAACTTGCATACCACCACCTACTGTGTTGGAGCGTGTTGATAATGGCTTGTTGCGTCGATGAAAGAAATATGGCTTTGTTTTAAAGTTGACCAGCAAGAGTCCACGTGGGGTGGGGGGAAGCAGTGGTGGGTGGATCCAGCAACCACCAATTTTCACTAAGTTGGTGGAGCCAAACCGTGTTCTTTTTTCCTAAACCCAACCACGTGTGCGTGTTGGCTTAACGTAACCACATGCATTTGTTGTCGAGGGGAAAAAAGACGTCAATTCGAGGTGTTTTACATTTCCTGTGAAAAGTGAAGTTTATTCTGAAAGAAGACAATGCATGTAACAGGCAGACCTTAACACAGCGTCCCAGAATGTCAACAACCAATGCACCCAGGGTACCTTGCACGTCATATCTGGACGAGGAAAGTTCATTACCAAACGTCGATATGTGACGAGGTCGGAGCGAGAATGTGTTGAACATACACAATGCTGATATATCTGCAATAAGATTAGAATAATAAGTCTTGCTCTACTTCTCACAGAGCTAGATATTGTCCCATTTTGAGTCTATAAGCAAAGCTGCTGGCTCCAGCTGCATAATTACCGTACATTTGAGAGTAGCATTGTTTTCCTCATCTAACTCTCAGCAAGAAAGAAAATAAGTATATTTTCCAAAACATAGAACTATTGCTGGAAGATAAGCATGTTGCACCATAAGGTGCACATGAGCAGTAAAAAGAAAAAACATTTCTACATTTGCTGCAGTCACCTCTTAGATGATCTTCCTCTTGGACTGTTCTGTGTTGAAAGGAAAGTGAACTGGCAGACTTTCAGTAGCAGAAAGATGTTTTCTTTGCTGCTGTTTAGAGTGAAACACTCCTTAATCATTTTCCAGACAAAGCCCTGGATTGCGGCTGAGAAAATGTTCTGCCTGCAAATCTATCGCAGATGATCTTTTCAGATGTACTACGAGACGGAGGAATACAGCTGTATTGATGGGCATAAAACCTAAACAAACTACGCTGACAAGGCGGAGAGCTGTGCAAACAGAAGATTAGAGGGGAGATGAAAGAAAGAGGAAGCCGGTTCAGTCAGTCGCTGCCAGCAGACTGTGGCTTTTTGCTACTGTATTCAATGGAGTGTTTTGAAACATGAACTTATTGGAATACAAAATCTCAATGACATAAAATGCAGCATTTCCCATCAGATCAATAAACACAGAGCAAGTCGTTGCTGATTATTTGCATTTTGTTTTGCTTTTTTCATTGGTTTTATCTTCATGTATATCAATAGTAAAACTATAAAGCCTTTTGGGTGAGAGGGAGGAGTGGCGGGAGCGTGCTTAGTCTTTGTATTGATTAAAAAATGATAATATCAAAACAAAAGCAGTCCTATCAGTCCAACAAGTCCTTCAAATTAAACCCCAAAATGGATTGTTTGTCTGTCCATGCTTTCTAGAACAACAAACAGAAATCTTTTTATTCTGTGCACCTAACTACAGGACACCAATTTTTGTCTGTGCCATTCAAAATCATTATAAGTTATTGTTGAAAAATAAATCTGTTTCATGATGTGACAACAAGGTTTGGTTAGGTTTGAGATAGATAATGGTTTGGGTACTAAATTGAGATTAGGGGAGCTTTGTTGTCACGGTAACAATTTGTGGTTAGGGAACAATCAAGGTCATGCTTGGAAAAATGACGACTACATTTACATGCACACTGACAGTCCGCCTTTGTTCCAAATATGACAATATTCCATATTTGATACTCGTCATGCAAACAACATATTTCATTTAAATATTCCAAATTACGCCAAATTTAGCATATTCTGACATGTGGGATAAGATGGTACTGACAGTTTTAATAGCATTCTTTGGACATCTATACAGCGCATTCGGAGAAAATGCATCTTGTGACACACCGCCTCTTGCCTGTTTGCCATCAGCACCGTGCGTCATCATGAAAGCATTGTACTCAGATCTACTAGCCACCTTTTTGCAAGGCTGTGGGGTAGAGATGCCCAAAAGAGAAGTCCACATTTCTGGTTGGAAGGAGAAACACACCTGCTTTTAAACATCATGAAAGACTTGAATATGTTGGATATGCACAAATATCGCAGTGCTGACCTTTTCAAGAAGGTGGCTTGACAAGCAGCTCCAGATGTTCCACTTTTCTATATTTTGACATGACAGATAACATGTTAAGGCACCATAATCAGAGTATGCATGGCTGCATGTAAACAGGAGTATTAGTGGAATGTTTATTTTTATTAGCCATGTTACCAGCTTAGTAGGAGTATTGTCTTTTTCAGAATAAGGGCAAAAAAGTGTAATATTTTGTGCACGTAAATGTAATCATTGGCTGTCATTTGGAGATGGTCAACAAACAGAGGTCTTCCTTGTTTAAGTCCGACACGTTGTTGACTGATCCATTCACTCTGAAAAACCTGCAGAGGGCTTTGTCACTTAAACATAAACAGATGTCACTTTGGGGCATTGGCTGAAACAACTTGATTCATCGCATCAAGAAATTTATCTGCAACTACTTTGATAATTGTCCAAAAATTTATTGTTTGTGACTTGTGAAATGTGAATGTATGCTAATTGGTTCCCAATCAGTGAGCCCAACTGATACTGGGCTTCGGGACAATTCTTATTGGGTGGCAAGTAAACAAAATAATTTGTCAGAAGAAGGACTTTGAACTTTGTCCGATTTTGAACAGCATTTTTCATCGTTCTCTGTCCCATCCATAACGACAACACACAGATTTATTGGTAGCGCAAAACAAGCAATTTAAAGAGGGAATCTTAGGCTGAGGGAAATTGTTATGGGCATCGTTTTGATGTTCACTTTGTGTCTGACATCTAATATAGGGCAGCACCCTGAAAATTTTATGATTTGAATCACAAGTCAGAGAACCCTCAGTCCTTGAAGTCAAGTAGTTGTTTCGCAGTCTGTCTGCCAGTGTACTGTGGATGGTTCAGCCCCAGATAGCTGCAGAGTGAGCACTCCTCGCTATCACACTGCTATCCGGCAGAGACAGCTGAAGACCCAGACCCAGGGTGAGTTTGAGTGAGACAGACACAGCTACCCAGAAGAAGAGAGGTTTTACCCGGTCAGGCTACAAGCTAACATTATCTTCTGCCTTCTGCTTAGAAGTGGTGAATTTACAGCTCACAGAAACTTAGTATGATACAGTTTTTGTTTTTGTTTGATACCAAGTGTCGGCAAAACATATTGTTACACATTTCTGATCCTTCTTTAGCACAGTAGCACGCATTAGCTTGGAGGGCTAACTTGGCTTGTTTACTATATTATGTGAACGTCGCTGTCAACACAAACATTCCACCGAACCCCCGTTCAAACCTTCAAATGTCACATGGGAAAAAAAGAAAAACAAGAGTCAAATATTCGTATGGAACAGCCAAATCAGATTCAACTGACATAATTCTGAATCAGGTAAAGCCCTAATTTTACAGAAACTATAAGACTATAATTCAAACACTATACGTCTCATAATTTGATCGTTAAATTCATAAAAAACAAAGATAGTTATATCAAAATACAAAAAAAAAAAAAAAAAAATTAATACGGAAATAGAAAAATTGGACAGAGGAACTTTTTAGTTGAATTTAACAATGAAACGTGATTAATGTGAAAATACAAGTAAGCTTTTTGTGACACTTGTACAGTACACTTTGTTGTACATTGTGCTTGTGCGTGTGTGTGTGTGTGCGCGCTTGCTCTTCCCATGACTCGGAGGCATGAAAGGACACACAGTGGGCTCTCCTGATAGCTCCTCCTCTTTAGTGAGACAACAAAAGTGCCCATCGTGTTGTTTGGTTAGCTTTGCTGTAACCCCCACATCCACCGCTCCATCACGCAGCAGCCAAAGACAAACGAACAAACGCTGTCAGCCAGAGTCGGTTGCTAAACAACCAAGGTAGGCATCCTTGGAGATTAGTGGCGTTGCCCTAGGTCTTTAGGACCCCTAGCTGTGCCGTGGGCTGGCCATGTCCCGCCTGCAGAGAAGTGTGACAGAGAGACCTGACAGCTCTGCTGCCTTGCCCAAGGACACGCTGTCACTGAGGCATAATAAGAGCGGACTGAGTGGTCCCCGGCCGTCAACAACACCACCCCGCTGGACGATTAGAAAGAGCTTCCCAACAAAGAGGCGGCCAACAAAAGGCCCATGTTAAATTAGGCATTTAATTCAACACTCGGTCACAAGGGCAAAGTAATCAGAGGGAAATCGTAAAAACATATTAAAAGGACAAGGAGAGACGGAGAGTCAGATGAGCCCACAGAAGTGATTTTTGGTTATGTGAAGAAATACTGAACACAAACTACAGAGAGAAAAGACACTGTATGATGAAACTATATTTGGAGCTTGATAAAAAAAGATAATCTTGTGCAACAGTGGAAATAAATATCCTAACCACCATATCTGGTTTAAACTCCAAGCTAAACACACATCTCTGAGGAGAAGGCGAGTTGAATTGCCATGCATGTAAGGCTTAAAATTATTCTGAGCACATCAGAGCGTGAGGCAGGATTTTAGATTTATAGATTCCTGTACTCCCTCCTACTGGGCCAGACATAAAAATCTGAATTAAAAGTATTTCCAGTGTTGTAGAAAAGCTGTTTGTGCAATTACAACCACAGCGTACAACAACAAAAACAGGCCACAACATAAGAAATGTAAATCTAAAGCCTGAGTCAGTGGGATACAAGCTGTGCTCTGGGTGAGTGTGTCCGTACCTGGTAACCTGTTGAAACTTGTAATCTCCTGAAGTGTGTCACATTACACAGTGACACTCCTCAGGATGTCAGGGCCGGTCTGCGTCTCAGCGTCAGAGCTCAAAAGTCGAGGGCCCCTATAAAAAAACATGAAATACAGCGTAAGTTTTAAAAAGTGACATCAATGAAGTCATCTGGCGTGCACCCGTTTCCTCAAATCACAGTCTTGAAGTGCTCGTTTTGAAAACTCTGAATTTGCAGTTGTTGTTATTTTATGATTTAATTACAAGTGTAAAGCTCTGAGGTATTGCAGGGGGTTAAAGGAGAGCTGCTCTCTCAGCGCTTGTTGAGCAGAGGATAATTATAGGGAGGGAAAACCTCGTCAGAGTCACAGGAATTCACTCTGATTTATTCAAGAGTGAAAGGATTCCTTGTAAGCCTTAAATAAATTTTAATTGCAGTAAGCTGTCTAACACAAGGGACCCCCCACCCCCCCGCCCCCCACCCCTCCCCTCTGAACCCTGGTGAGTTGGGAACTTTGATTAGATTACAAAAAAAAGTATTGAGGAGGGTATTAGAGGTGCCACAGGGGTCCCAATACTCACACAAAATGCCTAATTTATACTTAGCTTTTGCTTTAATGCAAAAACACACACTTGCATGAAGTCACACAGCAGCACAGCAGCGTACCTGCACAGCAACATGTCGACCTGTCAGAAAAACCCATTGATGTCGTAATTCAGTAAATGTTTTATAGATGTAACGGAAATGCAAACCCGGTTTTATTGACAAACCAGAAAATAATGAGTGTAAACCTCTAAGTGTTGCGTTTAAACGCAGGGGTAAATTGATGAGCAGACGAAGCCTAATTGACACACTTTGGAATGCGTGTTTCCGATATCCTTTGGCGAAACAGCCTCCTGCCCTCGTGTCTCACTTGTCAAGTCATGTTGTGGTATTTATTGGTTTGATTCTCCAGATTTGCTCCTGTATTTTATCCTCTTTAAACACCCGGCGCTCGTGTGCATTTGCATCGCTGCTTTCATGCATGAATGTGCCTTTGAGTTGTGATTTTATTTTCCCTGCTCATTGCAGAAATCTCTTATATTTCCACAGTAATATCATCTTATGCGCATGGTTTATATGTATGATAATAAATAACAGCATAAATGTGTAAAGATTAGGTCCCTATTTTGTCGATAAGTGTAGTTTCTCTCTGGCTAAACAATAGAATTCACCTGAGATTGGTCCCTGAAGAGACAGCGATATATGGGTTGGAAAATTACATAGTGCCTCATCTCCCTTTGGAACAATCAATGTAATGTGAATTCAGCCATCTTTTTATTATATTTTGCTTTTTTATTGTTAACAATCGTCAGTCATCACTTGGGTGCAATATCAGTAAATATTCAACTGTGCAATATTTATAATTCCTACATGCAATAATGTGAATTCAGCCTCTGTATTTATTATATTTTGCTTTTTCCCTACTGTTTAGTTGTTATAATGCTCTGTTATTCTTTATGGATGCTTCTTGTTTTGAACTATCCCCTTTGCTGTGGTAACAACGCAAATTTCCTCCTGTGGGTCTGTGCAAGATTGTCTTATCTTATTGGAATAATTTCAAACTGAAAAGGTAAAGTTGCCTGAAAATGTCTAAAAATTAGATCCTTTAGTTTTCTGAACATTTATTCCATGGAGTCTGAGATTTTGTTTGGAAAATTACAAAAAAATCGCACCTTCTTCAAAACCTGATGACTTACAATCATACAAATTGTGCACAGAGGAGCGACGTACTGAGGCAGTCTCCTCTGTTAAGTCGGAAAAAAAAAAAACCTTCTGGACACCGTGCCTCTCTGCATGTGTGTGCCCTGGAGAAATGGGCCAGTAAAAGTTTTAAATGAGCGCTAGACAGGTGTCAGCAGTCTTTTAGGACAGACAAATCTGTCCACGCCATCGGATACTTTCCCTGCAAAGGAAACTGTCTGGGCGGACAGGGAGAAAGATAGAGATGGATAGATACAGAGGGAGAGGGAGGTACGTGGTGAAGGGAAATTAACACCTACATATGTATATACTTTGTCTTTTTCTCCTCTTGTTTATTCTCTCTTCTCTGTTCTCTCTGCTTGGAGGGACAGTTTGGGGATCTGCTATTGACAAATAGTACATATGTTAATAATCAATTGTACTGTTCAGTATTATTAAAGGAGTAGTGCTTTACAGCTACAATATGTTTAGCTTAATATAACTTGCCAAAAGAAACTCGTGCACCACCTATAATATTAAGACTAAGCTGAGCACAGTGAATGAATGACATAAGGGGTGGAGAGTTTGAAACTTTATGTCTTAAAGAGACGCCCTTTTTCCTGGTAGGACCAGAGATTTGAGACCCCTGCACAAGTTGAAGCCTGCTACCTGGTGCTCAGGCCCCGAGGAGTGAAAAGGGCCGATAATTGAGCTGGAAGGAATGGAGGAAGGGAGTCACATTCCCGAAATGAGTCCAAAACAAAACTCCTGTTAATTCTCCTCATTTTTCAACTCCTGTCTCAGACATTTAGGGATTGAATCCAAGAGAGTTTAGAGAGGAAACCACGTCCAAAACTAAAGTACAGTCATTTAATGTTTCCTGCTTTTTCCAAAGGAGGAGAACATAACGCCAAAGCGAGGAGAATAAAATGTGTCCTTTCAGCTTTCTGTCGTCCTTTTTATTTAAGAAAATAAGCGTTATCTTTATTATTTACAGCCCGTAGCTTAAATAAACTGAATGTATCTCTGGTCTGCTAGGTGCTAGTTGTACTTCACTTCAGTGTTTCCATTCGATTTCATACTTCTACTATTGTACATTTTTTACTATCTGCACTTATCTGACAACTTTAGTTACTAGTTACTTTGCAGAAATGAATTACTAATACAAAACATAACTCAACTCATGACTAAATATTGTGTAATATTATGAATTAAGCTGCCCAGCAGTATACAAGGTGATTAAAATGAGCTCCACCTTAACCAGCTGCAACATTAGAGTAAGGAACACAATAATGCATCAGTAATTCTAATCCACTGACATTATATATTATTCTAAAGTGAGCCATTCTGTATAATGAGTACTTTTACTTTTTGTACTTTTAATTTGGATACTAATAGGCTACTAATGTAGTACTTTTGCTTGTGGATTATTTTTACAGGGTGCTAGTACTTTTACTTAAGTAATCTGAATACTTTATCAAGACTAGGTTCCTCGGTTTACTGTTAGTATTCATGTTAAAATCATAGGCTGTCTATTGAAATCAACATGATATATTTATTTACAAATTATTACATGTAAATATTAGGGGTATAAAGATCAACAACAAAACGTGCATGCAGGCTGAAATTCAACTGAGCTGTTGTGTTGGGAGATGTAGTGACTGAAACCAATGGTGAGCAAGAAAAATAACGATGCTACATGTATTTTGTGAGGCAGTGAATGGAGGAAAGTCCACTAGCCACTAAGTAAATGTATGCAATGTAAACATGTTTGAGCTGATAAGGAGTAATCAGCAAAAAGCAAGTGACATGTCTGTGAATCTTAATAGATATTACTAAGCTGAATGTTATACTTTTATGAAATGATCTTGTATTTTTTTTAGCTGTTGGGAATAGTTTGCCTTCAGAGCTTTAAAACAGATAACCCTGAAGTTTTAGGAAAAAATGGTTTGGGTTCAAATGAAAAGATTTCTTCCAGAAAGGTCTCTCTGGCAGAAAGCCCTGAAGGTTAACTTATCCCGTGTGCTGTTTTAAGTGTGTTAGTGGAGTCAGTTTAATGGAAACTTACTATTTAAGTGCTGTTTTTATATTTTATGGCCAAAAGCAAAAAGAACGGGGACTCTGCCTCTTCTGTAACTGATTGTGTTAAAGATCAGATAATACTGTCTTAGATTGATCGCAGGCCCCTGAATCGCATCGTATCGAAATCTTATTGTGGCAGACTTTGTAATATCGGCAAATATAATATCGTTGTCCAAAGAAGCAATATGATATCGTATTGTGATGAAACTGGTGATTTACACCCATATTACATATGTGACTCAAAGTGAACTTAACCATACTACAATGCATGAATTTCACTAGAGACAAAAGCAAAAGTGTCAACATTCATCCAAGCTAGTTCGCCTTAGCAAGAGTTTATTTGGTGTTTTTCTGCATCGTGATTGGGTCAAGGCAACAGCTAGGGGGAAAATAATAAGTGACCAGCTAGCTCTTACTTGAGTTAGTTCTCTAAGCTGTCTATAGTTGCAGTCAGGATTCTGAATTCTGCCAGTCAGTGTGCTGAGGATTACAGACACAACATAGAACATTTTTGAACCTTTTTGCTAAAACGTCCAGGGAATTTAAGAATGAATTAGAGAATGAAGAAGAAGGAATAATTTAAGAATGTATTTGAGCACTAGTGTTGTTTGGTAGCTGGTGTTAAAGTGAAGTCCAAGATATCAAAGAGTAATCCAGCATGGACAGAACAGTCCTCTGCACCACAGTCATTTCACCAAAATGAGTGAAAGGTCATTAGTCCAACAGTCATGTGGGATTTGACTTTTCTAACCAGTTCCTCTCTATATGATAGACAAGGCATTCAATTTAGGGAGGAAAACTCAAATTGAAACTGTGACCTTTGCTGGTCAAGGTGGGATGATCTCAGTGGCGATGGGCCTTGAGGCTGCGGTGGTGTTGGCTGATTGATCCGAGCCTGTCAAAGGTCTTGAGGCAGCTTCTTGTGGTGTTTAGCGGCTGTGATGACTCAGCAGTTTCTCTCAACAGACGGATCATTCTGCAGCAGCAGTTCCGTCCTGCAGGGTCACAACCTGCACTGGACAGGGAAGACCCTGCAGGCTCTGAGTCACTCACAGGAAAAGACCTTCTGCATCTGAGTGAACACTGTCTCCCTCTTTCTGGATGTCTGTCTCCATTTCCACTTTATTTCTTTCATGCGGATTTAAATGCTGGTTTGTACGGCTGGTTTTTTAACATTTATAAAATAATGGCCAGTTTAGTGTGTTCTTTTTTTCTTTGTTACTGACTTCCACACTGATACTAATTCCTACTGATGCCCATCACAAGTTTCCAGAAGCCAAGGTTATATATACAACTAACTATGGTGGAC